AGTGGTAGCAGTGGTACAATGATTCTGCTATGTTATGCTGTGCACGGTGTGCTATGTTCATCATGTTATACGGATTTCTCATATTCTATTTCGTTGTGCTCTATTATGTACGTACTGTTCTCGACAGGCCGGCGAGACGCCGTGACGCCTGTCACGATAAATACGTCGTCCAATCGTTCGTTGTTGCGCCTCTTTGCTCCTGTGGCCAGCCTGATTTCGGCGCGCACGTCGCGTTTGAATTGACTGTACTACAATATATTATGTTGTGATGAAAAGATGTACCATGTTATGTAATGCTGCGATTCTGTGATAGGCTACGATATGTTATGTCACTGTGTGACATGGCAGGTTCTGTTATGACAGGCTGCGTTATGGTGTGATGTCCTTCTTTCACGATGTGTGGTGTTATGTTATGCTTTGCATGCTCCATGATGTCATTGCACGCGTTGTAAGGATGTGCCCTGATATGTCAAATTCTGACATGGTATCAAACATTGTGCGCTGGTATGTTGTGGTGCCATGATATAATTTGTTTTGCGATGGTATGATGTGTTATGCCGCGCTCTGTCATGGCATGATATGCCATGTTATGGGATGGCATGTGCATTAATGCTGTGTTACGGTGTGAGACGCTATGGCATGCTGTGTGATGCTATGTTATGTGGTTGTATGTTATGTTATGAGGTATGATGATATGAGGTGTGGTGTTATGCTGTGATGTATGATCTAGTGTGTCATAGCTGTTTGCGTTATGCTAGTGTATGCCTTGTTATGATGTAACATAGTATACCGCGCTCTGCCATGTTATGATTGATCTGTTTGTTGCGATGATGTAGGTCACGCTATGTGCGATGAGACGCAATGTTATGTTGTACAGGATTCGGTCATTGTATGCCCTAGTGTGATATGCTGACATGTTATGCTACAGTGTGATATAATAGGTTATGGTATATGTGCTCCGATATTTCACAACATGCAATAGTCTATGGTGTGCAATGCTATGGTATGTCATGTTATGTCAGACTTTGGGCATGCTATGTCTTGATATGCTGAATTATGCGATGATGTCTTATGGTATGCTTGCGTTGCCATGTCATGTGATGCTATGTGATATGATGCTGTACTATGATAGGCACGGCCCTGTCATGGTGTGTTATATTACGATACGTTATGCCATGACATTGTACGCTACGCGAGGACATGTTCTGTTAGGTGATGTGGTGTTCTGCTATTTTCTGTCGTAGCTTATCGTGTTGTGCTATAGTATGTTCTGCCATTTCATAATATCGCTGTCATCTTATGATTTGTCGGCGCGAGGCGGGACACTCGGGGACACTCGGGGGCTGGGATCTGGCGGCCGCGATATGCAGACTGGCGCGAGGGATTCTCGGGGATGCTCGGGAGCCTCGGGAGCTGGCGGCCGCGGCATGCAGAGTGGCGCGAGGCGGGACCCTCGGGGATACTCGGGAGCCTGCAAAATCTGACGACCCCAACCTGTCAGGTGGGGATTCACGACCGGAGCCCTAGATCCGATCTGCTTGAGCCGTATCGATCTGTGAGGGCCCCAACACGCGCGAAAACGCCCAGCGTGAAAAAGCTGCAACGCCCTGATCGCAGGGTCCCCCCTGGCAGCGGGCGTCGAGCACGACGGGCCCATCCGCAGCGCAGGGGCAAGGAGAGACCAAGCCGCCCGAGAGGAAAAGATTCAGGAGGAGGAGGAGGAGGAGGAATGGGGGGGGGGAGGAGGAGGAGGAGAGGAGGAGAGGAGGAGGAGGAGGAGGAGGAGGAGGAGAGGAGGAGGAGGAGGAGGAGGAGGAGGAGGAGGAGGAGGAGGAGGTTGAAACTCCCTCCTCCTCGCTCTGAGCGGACGCGTCGTGGCCGGCGGCCGCAGGAGCGCTCCCCGCCCAGGGAGGGTGACGAGGTGGGGGCCGAGTGCCTCCCCCTCTGGGCCTCACCTTGGTGCTTCCCTGCCTGCTCCTTCTCCAGCTCCTCCTCCTCCTCCTCCTCCTCCTCCTCCTCATAATCGTGATCATGGCCATGATCATGATCATGATCATGATGATGATCATGATCATGATCATGATCATGATCATCATCATGATCATCATCATCATCATCATCATCATCATCATCATGATCATGATCACCATCATCATCATCACCATCATCATCATCACCACCATCGCCATCATTATAAGCTTCACAATCACCACCACCACCACCAGCATCATCATCATCACCATCATCGTCATCATCACCATCACCAACACCATCATCATCATCATCACCATCATCAACATCATCACCCCCAACACAATCATCACCCCCACAACCGTCATCATCATCATCACCATCACCACCATAATCATCACCATTACCACCACCATCATCATCATCATTATCATCATCATCATTATCACCATCATCACAATCATCACCGTTATCAGCATCAGCATCACCACCACCACAACAAAAATCACCACCACCACCATCATCATCAGTATCATCATCACCATCATCACTTCCATCATCATCATCATCATCATCATCATCATCATCACCCTCATGACCACAATCACCATCTTCACCATCAGCTTCATCACCACCACCACCATTATCATCATCATCATCACCATCATCATCAGTATCAGCATTATCATCATCATCACCATCACCAGCATCAGCACCACAATCATCACCACCACAAACATCATCATCATCAACACCATCATCAGCAGCACCACCATCATCATAATAATCATCATCACCATCACCAACACCATAATCATCATCATCATCATCATCACGATCATCATCATCATCCTCACCATCCCTATCAGCATCGCCATCAGCAGCATCATGATCATCAGCATCAGCATCATTACCACCACCACCACAAACATCATCACCATCATCATCATCATCACCATCATCATCACCATCATCATAATCATCATCACCATCGCCATCATCACCATCATCATCAGCCTCACCATCATCAACACCATCATCATCAGCATCAGCATCATCATCATTCTCATCATCATCATCATCAGCACCATCAGCACCACCAATACTATCATCATCATCATCACCGTCAACATCACCCTCACCATCAGCATCAGCATCATCATCACCCTCCTACTCATTGTCATCATCATCACCATCATCATCATCGTCATCATCATGATCAGCATCATCACCACCACCACAGTCATCATCATCATCATCATCATCATCATCATCATCATCACCGTCATCATCACCAAAACCATCATCATCACCATCATCATCACCATCACCATCATCATTATCACCATCATCACAATCATCATCAGCAGCAGCATCACCATCATCATCACGATCACCCTCCTCCTCATCATCATCATCCTCATCAGCATCATCATCACCATCATCATCACCATTACCATCACCATCATCAGCAGCATCACCATCATCATCACCATCATCATCAACATGAACATCCTTGTAAGCATCATCATCATCATCATCATCATCATCATCATCATCTGCACAAGCCTCAGCACCATCATCAGCATCATAATCATCATCACCACCGCAATCATCACTAGCAGCATATCGCCATCATCATCATCACCACCATCAGCAGCATAAGTATCATCACCACCGACACTGAAATCATCATCATCACCATCCTCAACATCATCATTATCATCATCACCATTAGCATCATCGTCATCAACATCATCATCATCATCATCATCATCATCATCATCATCATCATGATCATCATCATCATCATCATCATCATCATCATCATCATCATCACCATTACCATCACCATCACCATCACCATCATCATCATCATCGTCGCGGGACTGCAAGCGCGAATGTCGTGGGACTGCAAGCGAGTATATCCCAAACTCTCACGCCATCCACAGGGCTCGCCGAGCGCCGTGACCAACCAGCAGGCGACCCATCCCTCTCTTCCCTCTTTCTCCTCCTCCTTCTCCTCCTCGTGTTTTCTGCTCCTCCCCCAGCTCTCCTCCTCCCTCCTCGGGTTACCACTCGTGGCCCAAACTTCTCTCGTGTCTCCGGCGCTGTCTCCGCGAAGTGGAGCGGCGCATCCCATCAGTACGATGCGCTCCTCCCCCCTCTCCCCCTCGACCCTGCGCGCGCGTGCTGGCAAGAGGGAGGGGAGCCGCAGTTTGCTTGTGCTCAGGACGATCTGAAGAGATGCGGCGCGGCCGCCGAAAGCTCACGGAGCGAGCCTGAGGCAAGCAATAGTTTCCAGATCTCACGCGTGCAACAGAAGCCGCCCTGTTATCGTGCGATGGCGCCCAAGTGGTCCTCCTCTGGGCCGGATCGTCTCTAAACCTAGGCCTGCCCCGAGAGGCACCCAAGCAAATTCGCGAGAAAGTATGCCGCCATACCGCTGTGCAGCAACGAGCGCGTCGGAGAAGAGAAGTGTTGGTGTGTGCGTGTGCGTGCGCCGATAAACATGACGATAGGGTCCCTCCCGACGCATCCGCAGAAACAACCTCTCCTGGCGTGTTGGTCGTTCTCCCCCTCCAGCTTCCCCCCCTTGCATGGCTGCGCAGCTGATCTAAAAAAAGGAAAGCTCTTCCAAGACGTCGTACTCGATACCTCTTCGGCAGCTAGCTCGGCAGAAGCCTTGGCGTCTGTGCCTGCCCGGTGCACGGCACCTCAACGTGGATCGAGCCCAAAGGCACTCGCCACCGTCTCCTCGGCCGACGTGTCACTCAGCAGTCGGCCCCCCGGCAAGACAGCGTCGACTCGCGCGAGTCCGAAGCTGGTCCTGCCCATCTGGTGAGTGGCCGTCAACTTCTCGTGAATGATGGCTAGGCGAGCGTCTGGTGCGGCTTGAATTCGGTAATGCTCCACCCCACCCAGCGTCGTGAAGCACATCGAGTCGCCGTCGACAGATGCCTGCAAGAGCAACGTGGGCAAGAGGTGAGCTACGTAAGTGAGGCCTTCCGCAAGCGCCGGGAAGTCACACTGGCCGCCGCCATTCCAGCCACACGCCACGGCGGTGCCATCGCTCTGGAGCAGAACAGTGTGGCCTCCTCCCGCGGCCACGCGAGTGAAGCTCAGGCCCTCCGCAGGCGCCGGGACGTCGCACTGGCCAAAATCATTCTCGCCACACGCCACGGCGGTGCCGTCGCTCTGGAGCAGCACGGTGTGGCACGCTCCCGCGGCCACCTGCGTGAAGCTCAGGCCCTCCGCTGGCGCGGGGAGGTCACGCTGGCCGCGGCCATTCTCGCCACACGCCACGGCGGTGCCGTCGCTCTGGAGCAGAACGGTGTGGCCTCCTCCCGCGGCCACCTGGGTGAAGCGCAGGCCCTTCGCCGGAGCCGGGACGTCGCACTGGCCATTGCGATTCTTACCGCACGCCACGGTGGTGCCGTCGCTCTGGAGCATAACGGTGTGGCACGCTCCCGCGGCCACCTGCGTGAAGCTCAAGCCAACCGCCGGCGCCGGGAGGTCACACTGGCCAAAATCGTTCTCGCCACGTGCCACGGCGGTACCATCGCTCTGGAGCAGAACGGTGTGGCCTCCTCCAGCGGCCGCCTGCGTGAAACTCAGGCCCTCCGCTGGCGCCGGGAGGTCGCACCTTCCGTAGCTATCCTCGCCACACGCCACGGCGGTGCCGTCGCTCCGGAGCAGAACAGTGTGGCACGCGCCCGCGGTCACTTGCGTGAAGCGCAGGCCCCCTGCCAGCGCCGGGAGGTCGCACTGGCCGTGGCTATCCAACCCACGTGCCATGGCGGCGCCATCGCTCTGGAGCAACACGGTGTGGAATTCTCCAGCGGCGGCCATCCGTGAGGGCCGCCCGTCGCGGTGCCGCCAGCCGCGGGGCTGTGGGGGCGCTGGGGCTCGCGCTGCAGCAGCCGCGGCCGCGTCGGGCGGGTCGGCAGGGCGGGGGCAAGCCAACTGGTTCACAGCCCCCTGAATAGCCCAAGCGCAGTGGGCAATAGGAAGCACGAACCCACACACACAAACACCCACACGCGCGCACACACCTTAGGTTTGCGGCCAGGTGGTCCAACGAACACACACACACACACGCACACACACACACATATACACACACGCACCCACGCACGCATGCATGCATGCACGCACGCACGCACGCACGCACACACGCACGAACACTCTCTCTCTCACACACACAAAGACAGGGACAGGGACACGGACACGGAAACGGACACGGACACGGACACGGACACGGACACACACACATACACACATAACACACATACATACACGCATATATATACACACTTTCCAGGCGGCGGCGCAGAGGAACCTAAGGCACGGTCGGCAGGTGGAGGTGCCAATTGCGAACGAACTTAATCGAACGAGCCATGATAAAATAATCCAGCCACGGCCATGCAGATTGGTGGTGAAAATGAGGCGCTGCAAAGCCAGGATACAGCTGCCAACGAGCCCGCGGAGCGAAAGCTTAACGCAAGAGGTTGAAGCGCAAACAGCAGCCTTGTCCCAATTAGAGACTCGAACGACGACAACAATAACTGCAAGGCTGCCAGACCAGACAGCTTGGTGGCGGCGCATAGGACGTGAGGAGTTGCGCGACAAGGCGACGCCACTGGCCTTGCACCAAGCACGACAAGAGCGCCGTGCAACACGATGCAAAGACTCGGTGTGATAAAGATGATCACGCGGCCTAGACTGACACACACCGCCGGGGGCAACAAAAACAAAGCTGAACGAGGGCCCGAAGGCGACCGCGAGAAGCAACCGCTTCACGCGGCAGCGTGAGCCCATGGGTGGTGGACAGGCGCGTGCGTGGCCAACCTGCAATGCAGACGCCACCGTTCTAGCAGCAACCCCACCGCAGCCAAAGCCGCGAATAGCTACCATGAGTAAGAGGAGGCAAAACAAACATATAGACAACCACCCAGGCTCAATAGAGACTGTACGCGTCACCTCAAGGTCGCACCACTCCGACCAAATTCGACAAGGTGAAAAGAAGGACTAGCAAAACGAACCCACCACGGGCTACGCCAACGATAGACGCTGGCGACCAAGCTGAAATACAGCTAGCGCCAACAATGGATGCTAACTGAAGCCCCACGTGCGGATGCGCACCCCAGATGCGATGCAGGAAGCAAAAAAAAATAAACAGGCCGCGGCCATGCCAGCCTGCACCCCGTGCCAAAGCGCAAGCAGCAAGGCGGTGAGGCCGCCGCTGGGCAAGCTGCCAGATGGGAAGAGGCGCCGACCACGAGCGGTGTCCGTGGAAATTGCCACGCGAACCCCTGGGGGCGCGAGAACGCCAGTGCCCCAGCCAGCACGAGAGGTGCAAGGCACTGCCCGTCCGCGCCCCCGCGAAACCCCGGAGAGACAAAAAGCCAGGCAACCAAAAGTTCTCCCGCCTAAGGCGGTAAAAGGGTTTCGAAAAATGGCCAACCGAAGGCAGGATGGCGCAGAAAGAGGCTGAAGCGAGCTACCCCAGGACGAAGCCTGGGGAACACGCCAAAAAGAGAAGTGGGCCGCGGCCAAGCGAGCCCATGCCCCGCACTGGGGCGCAGCAAGGCGGCATGGCCGCCGCCAGGTCCAATAGACAGACGGAAAGAAATACACTACAACAGGCGGTGAGGACCTCTGATAAGGCGACGAGAGACGCCTATCGTCTCTCGTCGCCTTATAAGGCGTCTATCATCTCTCGTCGCCTATCGCCGCCTTACATGGCAACGAGAGACGATGCGGCAAGTCCCGCCAACACTTCCGTGGTACAAGCCACGAGGCAACTGGAGGCCGCGAAGAAAAACAAAAACACACAACACCAGCGGTCACTGCGCGGAGCGCGGGGGAAGGTTCAAAGAGCGGCGAGCGGCACTGCCGCAGCTGCGCAAGAAGGGGCTCCGGCAAGGACATGCAGTGGCGGAGAAAGACAAGTAGACACACACACACGCACACACACACACACACACGCGCGCGCACACGCACATGTTTTGCGTCGGCGGCTAGGCAAAGTGACTGCGCTGGAGGACAGGGCACGTGCAGGGCGTACAGGTGCGAATTGAGCCGCAGCGCAAGAGGAGGAGGAGGAGGAGGAGGAGGAGGAGGAGGAGGAGGAAAGCCGGCACGGGCAGGACGGAGGAGAGGCCAGGCCCGCTCAGAGCGGGGCCGGGCCGCGGCAGGGGCAGCGCCGAGGCAGCGGCGCGGCGGCCGCAGGGCAGCCGAGGGGGCGCAGCAGCCAGGGGTGGCAGCGCCGGACGGGGGGGAACAGGCCCAGCCTGTGCTATGGGGGGCGGGCGGCGCAGCGAAGCGGCCGTGCGCCGAGGTCGGGCCGACCTCCAGGCGACAGGGCAGCCCGAGAAGACCACCTCAGGGGAGGGGCCGGGAGGGGCAGCTGGGGAGGGGCCCGGCAAGGCGGGGCGAGCGCGAGGAGAGGCGCCGAGATCCACGGGACCTGCGAGGCGCCTGCCAGCGAGCGGTAAACACACACACACACACACACACACACACACACACACACTCACACTCACACACACACACACACTCACACACACACACACACACACACTCGCGCGCGCGCCGAAGCATCCCCGCAATCTGGGCGCGAACGGGTCCGTGGAACACCCCTGGTCGACGCCCCCGCGGGTGGCCCAAACGCAGTGTCTGTCATACCGCGATCGGGGCTCTGAGAAGACGCACGCCTACTTTCAGGTCGGGCCCGTCCCCCTACAGGGGGGATTTGGGACGAAGAAGGAAACATACCCCCAAAAAGGCCCCAAGACTGCCCGAACATGGTCCAAGAATGGTCCCCAGACTACTTCTGGACTCTTTCTGAATGTTCCTCCTGTAGAGGGACAGGCCCGACTTAAGCCTACTCTTCAAAAGGAAACAAAAAGGAAACATACCCCCAAAAAGGCCCCCAGACTGCCCGAAAATGGCCCAAGAATGGTCCCCGGACTATTTCTGGACTCTGTTTGAGTGTTTCTCCTGCCTTCAACGAGCCCCTCACGTGCTCGTTAGCGCTCATACGTGCTCGTCTTCTGGCCGTCGCGCCTGGGCAACGACGGGCCTTTTAGGTGTGTGTGTGTGTGTGTGCCAGAAATTCGGTTCGGAGGTGCGCCTCCACTCGAGGCGCATGCCGTCGGGGCCCTGAAGAAGGAACCCTTTTCGTTGGGGAGGGGCTCGTTGAGGGACAGGCCCGACTTACGGCCGGAACAAGGACACAAGAACATCTAGCAAGAACACGAGACCCTCCGCGGGCCAAAGTACCCCAAACCACAAGGACGTCGAGGATGCCCTTCCGAGGTGTCCCCGACCTTCACTTCCGAGCCAACGTGCGTAAGTACGCATCTGGTTCAGCCCCCCAGCGTGCGTGCGTAAGCCCACCCTTCAAAGCGGGCGCTTCGCGCGAGAGCCTCCCCACACTCCGGGCACGGACGGGCCCGTGGAGCCCTCGGGGTCGGCCCTCCCTCCCCCCCCTCCCCCGGGTGGCGCAAGAGTGCCGTGAGCTGCGCCGCGGTGAGGAGGAGGAGGAGGCGGAGGAGGAGGAGGAGGAGGAGGAGGAGGAGGAGGAGGAGGAGGGGGAGGAGGAGGAGGAGGAGGAGGAGGATGCGGAGGAGGCGGAGGAGAGGAGGAGGAGGAGGAGGAGGGAGGAGGAGGGGGAGGGAGGGAGGGGAGGAGGGAGGAGGCAGGAGCCCTGAGAAGACACACGCCAACTTCCCAGAACGGCCGCTCCACCAGAGATTTCGCCACAGTAAAGCCGCCGATCCTGTCGGCGCGTGTGAGGGGCTTTTCCGTTTGAGTCGTCGTCGTCATCACCGCTCCACTCCCTTGCCGCTTTTCCGCTTGGCGCGTCGTCGCCGCCGCGGTCGCCGCTCATCCCCGTCCCTGGACCCTCCTCCACAAACGTTCTAGCCAGAGGGAACTCGAGCAATGTCGTCATCGAGTCGAAGGGGGGCCCCTTTCCTTTGGTCCCCCACCCGCGGGGGGGGGGTCCCTGGAGAGGCCCCCGGGGAGGTCCGCCGCGGGACGCTAGGGAAGGGGGTCCTTGGGGGGGAGTCCCGGGTATTGTGACCCCTCCCCGGGGGGGGGCAATCCTCCCTGGGAGAAGCTTTCCCGTCCAAGTTCTTGCCTCTCAGACGCCTCGAGCTCACTTGTACCGCAGCTTGCTCCAAGAGGGCCCTGAAACAACCCAAGTTTGTTTCAAGACGGCCCAAGATACGCCCGAGGCTGCCTCAGAAGCACCCAAGACGCTCCAAGAAGGCTCCAAGACGAGCCCCAATGGCCCCAAGAGGCGGCCCCAAGAGGTGCCCGAGAAGCCCCCGAGAGGCCCCCCAAGAGGCCCAAGAGATCCCCAAGAGCACTCCCACCACAAGCCCAAAAGGGTAAATCCAATGATTCCCACCAACCCTGCTGGACTAAGGAGGTCTAACGAATTCTTCCTTTCCTCTTCCAAAAACCCTCTTCCCTCTGGCGAGGGGTACGTGGCCTCTCCCTCCCCTCCCTGGCGTTTTTGGGGCGGGTCGCGATCGGTGAGAGCGTCCAAGACAACCTAATATGGCTCCAAGAGGGCCTCCGATGCTCCAAGATGGCCTCCAAGGCGGCTCGAGATAGCCGATGATGCTTCACAATAGCTTCCGACATGGCTCCCAAAGGCCCGACGAGGGCCACATGTCGATTTCAAGTGCTCCCGGAGGCCCCATCAGGGCCCCCCCCCCCACGAGGCCAAATTCTTTCAAACACCCGAGGACAATCACGGAGGTTTGCCGTCGCGCCCTCTCGCTTCCCGTGCGCTGCGGAGGCCTCAAAAGGATTGCCTCAAGACGAGGGCGGAGGAGGAGGAGGAGGAGGAGGAGGAGGAGGAGAGAGTAGGAGGTAGGAGGATTAGAGATGGAGTGTATTGATGATAGTAGGATGTATTCGGAGCTTCTGCGGCTTAACGGCTGATAGTACGCTGTAG